TTATTCAAACTGATTTGTCATCAGCATACAGTTCCTCAAGAAAATGTTGTTTTTTAACACTAGGCCAGCCTCACTGATGATAAGGTAATACAATAAAAAGAGAGAGGGGTCAGCTACTATTCCAGTCCAAAATGAGTGGCTCTCATCATGTGACATCACACAGGTGGGAGAAAGACTTGTTAAATTCAAATGATACCCTTGATTGTTACCTAAGAGACTTTTATCCAAGACTGATAATGTTTCAAGGATCATGAGACATAGCAGTAAAAATTTGTGCATGCTACAGAGATTTAGTGGAAGAAAGGGACACCTGAACTATTTCACATGTATATAATCATTTTGAAAATCTAAGATGTCCCCAAATATAATATTTGTTACCAAGAATGATTAACCAGCCATCCTTTAATGAATAGAGAAAAATCGAGTGAAAGCATATTAAAAATTGATGTCCAAAATCCCCAGTACATTTTTTTATATTTGCCCTAAATTTTCAATGAAATAGTAAACATTTTAACACATTAATAACTTAAAAACACAATAATGGAAATCTGGTAAGTATTCCATACTATAGAGTTGACAATAACCATTCATAATAATTTTTTCTGCTTCAAGTATACATAACAAAGAGCCTTAGGGGCAGACTAGAGCTACCAGATCGAGCCTGCTAAAATCCACATGATTCCTGTATATTGTTGTGGCCATGCAGTATGTGTCTGGATTTCATGCAAGCAAGACCTCACGGCTACAGGGCAAACCCTAGGAAATTATTAAATATGTAGGAAATAATTAATCTAATTTTCAGCATATTTAATTTCATACTAGCTACTCCTCTTCTTTGTCCTAACTCTGTTTTGGAAGAGCCACATGCCAAAATGGACCAGGAAGCCCTCATCAAGACTAGGTTTACAAATTTATGTTCTGTTTCAAAGACTAGCACTTAACACTCTGTCATTCATTAGTAACATAGTGTGCTTGTTGTGTTCCTATGCAATGAGCAGAAACCTATTTCATATAATTAGTACTGTTACTTCACCCATACTGGTTCTAGATATTATAATCTAAAACAGTATTTCTCAACCTTAGCAGTTTTAAGATGTATTTCAACACCTAATGTTTTTAACCAGCAAGCTGGTGAAGAATTCTGGGAGTTGAAGTCCAAGTATCTTCAAGCTGACACACACTGATTGAGACACACTGGTATATAATGACCATAGCAATTTAGTCACCAAAAAGTGAAAATTAATACCTATAAATGTTTTTTTAAAAAAAAACATGTTAATAAATTTACTTGTGTTTGACTGGGAGCCTAAATTACACTTTTCTTACAGTCTACTCAAACTTTGCTAGACCTGAAAATAGAAGCTAGTCCAAGTACGTATTTCCAGACATTAGTAAATTAGTATTCACTAAAGTTTCTAGGAGTCTTGAGTCTCTAATCTTGATTAGATATCGTATAATCCCTCATTTGAAGATTATGGTATTTAATGGTAAAGCCATCATTTCCCTTATCACTCTTTTACACCTTGATTTATCTCAAAACTACCTTATTATACACAGTGGCTTTTAAAATCCATTGTACTGATATAAGAGCAATCAATCAGTAATTAAAAGAAGGCACACTGAATTTTTAGCCATGCTGTATTTATACAGTATCTCAACCAGCTATCCCACAGTATGATCCAGACAACAAATATTTATAACTAAATAAAGTAGGAATATGGTGAGATTTTCCAGCCTGAATATGAAGATTATAACATATGTAAATGCAGATACAATTAAAAACCTCTGACACATACAACTAATGCAAACAACTATAGAAATTCAGATTATACTGGGGATATGATGTACCTGGTTAGAGATCTTTAACAAGCCTGTAAACGTGTACTTGGTTTCTGAAGCTCCTGGAAGATAGTGATTTCATTATGAAGGCTTCATAAATAATTCATAAACAATCCCTAGTTAAAATAAGTTTGAATCTGAAGAGTTGGCATCATAAAATTGGTAGAATCCAGTAGGGCAGCAGAATGCCAATGCCAATAACTATTTTAGAATCAACTGTACTGCCATGAATCTTTTGTAAAGGACATGAAGTACTTAAGTAGATTCCATCTATTTGGCTAGAATGAATAGGTTCTCTGATCTCAAAAGTTAAGGCATATGAGCTCTTCCTGACTAGGTATTCATCTTTAAGGCATCACCCAGCATCATTTAGGTAATAGGAACCCTGATGTCAGAGTTATTATATTAGTACCATGATGACTGGATGACTCAAGAAGGCATTATAAATAATTGATGAAGAAATCATAGATAGTCACTTCCCTATGTCTCATTAGATGCTCTTAACTAGGTGTCGTTTTTGCTAGATGGGCCACTAATCCTAGTAGGAAAGTTAGCTTTAGTTTCATTCTAAGGAAATCTATGACCAACATCCAGTGAGATGAGCAAGGCATAGGAGGAGGGGGAGGAGGGGAATGAATATCTCCACATGGCAGTCAGCAAACTATTATTTTGACAGCAAGTAAACCAGCCATAACATTGAAAATCATAATATTGAAAAGAGCTTCAACTTCACTCCTGATGTGTAAAACCTCTTCAGTTAAAGGATCTAATCCCATTTAATAGTCATTGGCCTGGATTATAAGAAGGCTTTCTGAGCTGGAATTGTAAATATATAGGATGTGGATATTAGTTATACACTGACACATTTTTCAGGCAAGATACCAAGATGGCCAACTTCACGGGATACTAGAGACATCACACAGGCTAGTTCTGAGAACACTTCCCTCTTTTTTGCAAACAGTTTTAAAAATATCAACCAATGAAGGTCACAAGCATGACAGAGGACACAATGCCATCATTCAGATACCTGGACAGCCTGTTTTTGTGTATGTTTTGGGAGCAGAGAAGTTAAAATGTGTCTTTCTGTTCCCTCAAAACATGAAAAAATACATTGCCTTGAATGAATGATTTTACTACCAAACTGCAGTCTTGAAATCTGGGCCTGCTATAGGAGTCACAGAAATTGACAGGGTATGGGGTGTAGCTGATTGGTTCTGCTCCTTACCTTTAACACTCTTTTTCCTCATATAAAGATATAGGAGATATTTAGTCTAATGAGATGTAGCTTCAAGGGTCTCAGAAAGAAGGATTTCTAAACAAAAATAGTGTGGGGTTCTTCTAAAATCTATGGCACAGTGGCAAAGATCTAAAATGAAAAATTGAAAAAAAGGCAAATTATTAAAATGAGTCTGACAGCTTAATGCAATTTCTATATAATTGTGCTCATTGAACAAACTCCACCCTTTTGTAAAGCTTTTTATTAAACATATTTTCCAAGACATTTTAAGCTTTAAAAAATGGTACGCAGCTGTAACCGAGCGTGTGTATGTAGTGAAACCAACGATAGCTTTGGCCATTTCAGGAGCAGATTAAATTCATATTGTTACAGCAAGATCCAGTTCCAACAGAGTCTAATCACAGCAGGATGCTGATTTGCAGCTCTAATTTCATTTTGATAAGCAATTAGTTCTGCAGAGAGAGAAAGGGACACAGTGTCAGTCCTTAGGGCAGGAAGAGGTCATACTGGCAGGATACCAAGTATTAAATAACTATATTCTACTCCATAGGGTATTTTGAATATTCCAACTTAAATGCCTTGAAATTGGAACAAAACAAGCCATTTTTGAATTATGCTGCATATTTTTTATCCCTTGCCCCCAGCCTCTCAAGTGAAATGGTTAGAAATTCATAGCACACTTTCTTGACTAGGTTAGCAAAATTTGCCAACAAGTATAGCACTCTGCTTCCCTAAAGGTAAAAATCAGCCCATCAGTTTCTTCCTGAGTTACTGCTTGGCCATCTACTGGAAATCTGTTTGGTGGCTAATTCGTTGTCATTGTGCTCCAACAAAAAGCATTTTTTATTGGCAGGTGCAGGCAAAGTTTGTGAAAACTAGAAATGTGCGCAAGAAGACTCCATAAAAAAGAAAGATGGCATTGCTGAGATGGCTGTTCTCTGTGATTTTTAGTAATAGACTTCAGTTTGCCATGAAATTAAATTTATAGTATACCTGCTAGACATGAAGGGACTGATTTATCCTCTGTATAATTCCATTGAACTCACTGGACTTATACCAGAATTTGGAACAGAGGCTTCAGCTAAGCTTTACTATTCCTTGATTTAACATTAAAGGCACCAATTTCATGGGAGGCGTATCAAGGAAACAAAAAGGATATATGGATGATTTACAGAATGCCTTTTTATGAAAAAGGAAAATGATGAATATGCAATCCATATAAATGAAAAAACACACACAACTTCAATACAATATTTTCACTTTGAACTGAAAGACACATAACATCAAATACCCATACAGTCTCTATGGGTATGATACAATTCATTAATCTGAATGGAGTTCTCATTTGTTTTAAAGTAATATGTTTTTGAAGAAACTTTGAGAAAGTACAGTTTTGTAGTCTTATTGCTGCATTGGGCTAATTTATTTTAAGTGATAACCACAACATTAGAAATAGATACATTATAACCTAATAATGAGCCACTAAGCAAATGCAAAAATATAGGTAAATAAAAAAGTTTGATACTGATAAAACAGGTAGGGTTCTAGAATGGGTCTGAAGGAAGATTTTGGTTGAAGGAGCTTCATGCTTGTGTCATTGCTGAAAACCTAACAAAGCAAAATATGTCTAGAATTATCTTTGGGACCATCCTGATTAAAGTGGTAAGATTAGAGGATGTTCTGGCAAAGATGGGATTACAGACATACCTCTAGGTTTACTAAATGTTTGTTGTCCTCAGGGTGTGTATGTGTGTGTGTGTGTGTGTGTGTTTATGTATGTGCCTTTGATTCAGTCTTGACTCCTGATCACTATCTGGACAAATATTGAACCCTATATAGTAGAACCTCTGATCATGAATGCTTCTGACCATGACTAAATTGGGTTCCAACTAAAAAATTAACAAAATTTTTGAATCTGGTTACAAATACAAACTTGGGTGGTGATCAAACACGACCCCTGACCCAGATATTCCTGAAGATGAAACATTAGAAGATGAAGAAACCGTCAAAGTTGTGGAATGAATTATAGTCATGACCAAGGGTTCTACTGTAGTTGTAATACAAAATAAAAAAATCTTTGCTTTTCATTAGATCACATTTATCATAATTCTTTATTGGAAAGCCCAATAGTTAAATGAGGTTTGACTTGTTGATTTTTTAAAAGTTTTGTTTTTTTGGCAAGGATATGTCCATTGAATTAATAAATATATTTTCCCTGCAAAATAAAATTAGGAAAGTATTTCTAAAAGAAAGCAAAGAACATCCCCCAACTCCTTTCAGATTTATTGGAATTCTGCTTCTTGTTATCTTATTTCTTTATCTTTGTGATTCATTATGCTTTCTCATCACTGATCATTGTTTTGTTTTCTCGCTCTTTGTTTTTTCACTGTGTAATCATTATCTACATTTTCCCTCTGCTGTGTAATATTTTGCATTTCAGTATTAAATATAAACAAGCTAAGCAACACATAAGGAATGGATGTATGCACATATTCAGATATAGATCCTCCTTTTATTGAAAGCTTGCTGTTTAACTGGCAAAACAAGAATAAATAAAAGTCACAGATATACAATAACTCATTACTCCCTTTATCAATTTCTCCTATGTCGTGTAATTCCCAAATTGGTGTCTACTGAAAGAATAACACTCTGGCCCCATTACCTCAACTAGTTTAACCTAGTTAAGCCACTTAAATATCAAATCTCATCAAAAGTGGTTCTACCAACATGTCCTTGCACTATGTGAAAAGTTGGAAATAGCTTTCCAGGATGTATATCGTATCTCATGAGTCCTTGCACCAGAAAAGTACTTGGAAAATTTCATGAAAATTCTAGGTCCCACCCTATTGGCCCAGGAGACAGAAATAATCATGAATTGACCACTAGAGTCAATCATTGTTTAGAAACTGTGTTCTATGCTGCTAGACCAAGAGAGAAAATTCTATTTTAGCTTTTTTTTAAAAAAAAAAAAACCCACTATATTTTCCAGCATTTTTTCCAGGAAAACTAAACAGCTAAAATAGAGCTATTATTTGGGTTTGTATGTTTCCATAATATAGATTTGGTCAGGGCTAAATTGAAACACCTAGAAATTTCATGAATGGCATAACTGACCTTGTTCCCTATGTTCTCACAATATACTACTTTCACAATGAGCCAGATGATCACATTGAACAAACAATACTGTTGTTTTTCGGTTATGGAGGACAGCAGCTTAGGAAGACAATTTCACAGTAACCTATATTTCTTTTTTCAAAGAGGAGAACAAAAAGCACACACCCCCTCCAATATTGTGGGGATATGAACTGCAGAACTATACATTTACAGAGAGACAGATTGGGGAAGGCATGTTGATGAGAGTGTATATTTGAATGTAAACTTCTGAAAACAGTTAAATGAACTCAGGGCATTGGGGAGCAATGCCATATGAGCAGACTGCACACTGATGTCATCACATTAGATTTATGCCTACAATGCCTGTTCCAGCAACTTGTGCAGAGGGAGAGAAAGAAGCTGCTGATGGAGCCTTTTTTATTATTATTTGAATCGGCAATTCCATTAACATGCCATGAAAAGAAGTTTCATTAAAACTGTGATCAAATATATTTCACTACATTGCAAACGTTATAGTAAATGAAAAAACGTATATTTAAAGAAAATTTAGAGAAGAGGAACAAAAACAAGTTCTAGTATCAGAAAATATATTGTGCACAGTCCAATTGAGGAAAGAAGCTTTTTTTCAAAAAGGGAAAAAAACCTTGTTCCCAGTAATAGATTTTCCGCCTTGTACTCAGTTCTCTGTATGAATAGCAAGAATGGCAGACATTTTCTCCCAGCTCAACATCAAAACGCCTTTCATCTGCTGTCTAAATGCAAACAAAGCAAACCTTCCACCAGGCCTTTCTTTCCAGATAAATTAAAACTCTCATGTCCTGGGGCCTAAATCAAGCCTACAGGCCTTCCCTAGATAAATCCTTTCTCAACCTGAAATCTTTTTGCTACACGTGCTCCTTGTAAGATAATTTTGCAGGAGTTAATCAATAATGCAACAGTAAATTGCATTTAAATAAACATTAGCAGTCCTCTTAATGAATAAAATCTCATCTGCAATTTGTCAAAGTCAGGAATGCTGGACTCTTTTGATATTCATTAGAATCCTGAAAATTAGAGCTTTGACAGGCTTTATATCCCCCTCTATTTATGAATTTTCCCCCCACAAAGCACATGAATGTCCTTTATTTTCACAACAAGTATTGAAGAAAAATAGTGGTATGTGTGTAGTTGGAAAGAGATATAAATATATATGTATCACAGATTACAATTGCATGTACTTTGAACATTCTTGAACAATGGGCAATGTTTAATGAAAAACCCCTCACTTAGAAATAATTTTAATTAGTTTGTTGCAGAGTTCAAAATTAGATCTCCCCTTTATCAATATGGGATTTCACAAGCCTATTAAACCAAAATTGTGAAATTATGTTATCTTATATGTACATTCAGCATATTTATTTTAAAATATTGAATCACATTAAAATAACTATTCTTCCTTTTTATTATAGCTTTAAATACTCCCAATGTCCTAATATATAATCTGGCTTTAAAAATGGTAAAGACATTCTTACTTGAATAACATTATAAAAATGGATCAGGCAAACCATAAAACACATTTACAACTATAATAGCAATGCAGGTATACCAAACCTAAACTGAAATTCCAATCTGGTCTCCAGTGAGAGAAGTTGAATTATTTCTTGAACTTCTGAGATCTTACTAAGCAAGAACACTGACATTTTAAAGCATGGTGTTGCATGGACAAATGGCTTTGTTTAGTAAGAAATGGTATCATTTCTTTCTAAATGTATCTGACTATAAATAATCATAGTTTAAAATCTTGCTGCCCTTTCTCAAGACTATTGAACCTAAATGTTTTTGCCCTGAATTAAATATTAAAATGCTGAACCACTGAATTGCAGGATAATTTCAAGGCAGTAGTTAGAAGCCTTTCTTCTAACTTAAATGGAGCAAAAGTTGGATGGTCCAATTCAGATAACATAGCAATACCATGATGGTATTTATTGACAAATGTCAATAAATAGATAGAAAATATCCATCTTCGGTTTCTATATCAGATAGGCTATCAAATATTCATTTTGCATATTAAGTGCTTTTTCAGTATAATTTTATCTGGATGGGAATTTTGAGAAATAATGCCTTCTTTATTATTTTTTGACATTACAGCTTGTTAGGGTAAGAACATACCATGGTTTACCTGTCCACCTCAGGAGCAAATTGGTACCATATTTGATATTAGCCCCTATTAAGAAATAGAATGCCATATTTAACATGGCTGCAAGCTTTTAGGGTGAAATGTGAAATAACCAACCCCATTGTTATTGCTTCCGCGTGGTTCTAAATGCGGTTTCCAAATGCTGCAACCTATGTCAAATTATAGATAATAACAAATACTATTACATTATTTCTTTTGGTTGTTCTTGACATAAACCTATGCTATTGAAATATTTTAAAAACACAGGCAATTTAAATATGGATTCTGCCCTCCCACATCACTGCAGCTTTGCACATAGTCATTATGAGGACGTTGCTATGTTATACTCTGAGATGCAGCACAAAGCATGGAAAGCTCTAAAGGTCAAAACACACCACCAAGTGAGCATAATGAAGAACAGGATTTGTTGCTCTACCAGGGCTTCACATTCAACCCAAATTTGGCTTTGCCATTGTTCAGACAACCTTTTATAGTGGCAGAATAGATTGCCAAATGATTCTATCTAAAAGAGAACTAGAGGAAAACAAATTAGAAAATACCCTGGAGATTAGCTCGCAACTCAGATTTATTCACTGGCTTGAGAAATGAGCTGGGTTTGGTACTGTACAGTTTTATGTTGACAGTGAAGCATTAGGCCAGCCATTTTCAGGTATCAAACATTCCAACAACTAAAATAAGCCTGGATTTTGCTCTAGTTATTTCAACTTACTCAAAACCACCACAATTCTTCTCTGTTTTTCTGTCAACAACATGTTTAATTATAAAAAAAAGAAACTCTCAAATTTTTTAACACTACAAGTAAAATCAAAAGACAGAGAGTAATAATTCTACTGTTCTTTGCCATTTCTAAAGTGAAATAATTAAGTCAATCAAATGTTTGACTAAGATATTTTGTCTTGATCAAACATGAGTTTAGAGTTTAAATCTAACATGAGTTAGATTTTTTTTTTTTGCTTTTTATTTAAACTCTACATTGGAAACTAGATGGAAATAAATGTCAAATAGAGGGTGGAGCCATGGAGGATAAATTGAGATCCCAAAGAAGATTAGGTCGTTAAGATAGAATAACAAATTATTTTCATAACCACAACAGTTACTTATACCAAAGGCAAACACTTTTTGGGTGGTTAAGAGACTGAATTTCCCAAGGGTACTTTTTAAAAGGCAATTGGACTTCCTTTGTTTTTCCCTGGAATAAGGTTCTCTTCTCACCAGTTCTTCAATTCTGAAAAAGCGTCTTTTAGGATGAGAAGTGAAACATCTCCAAAGTAAAACAAAGTCCGGTTGCCTTTTGAAAAGCAGCTTATGGGAACATAGCAAGTAGGCAACTCATATGGATATTGGTAAGTTTTTATATTTTCTTTGATTTGTAATCTGTCTTGGTTTTGGTTTACTCCAAATTGTCAGACCTAAATCATGTGCTCAGAATATATTGCCTGTAAGAATCAGATGGTTGAATTTGCATATGTTTATTTTATGATTGTTACTAGTTTGCAATTATATTTAAATAAAATTATTCAGATCTATGAACTAGTTTAACCTAGTTAGCCACTAATCCAATCACCACTGAATTTGGCAGTACACAATGAGCTCTGTTTCAGGGAATACCGGGTCCCTGTCTCAATTTATCCAATCCTGTTTAATATTCCAGGAGATTACCAGCAAGGCTTTGTTGCATCAAGAACTCTTTCCTCATTGGCTAGTTGGGGAACAGAGAGTGTATTTTGAGTCCTGCGGTGTTTGAGAGGCATGCTGGCAAATTTTCTATCTGCCAACCCTTTTTTCAATCTTTCTGCAATTCCATTTCTTTTCTTAGAATTACAGACTGGACAGAACTAGGACAGCTAACTTGCATATGAATTCACACAACCAGGAGAAGATGGTTCTGACTTACTATTGCTCCACCATTCCTTTAACATCACCTTTCTCCTGTCCCAGTCATAATATGTTTAGAGAACTCACTGTCTTCATCTTTAATTGATTTAAGCTAATTTATTTGCTGATGGCATTGAATGGAAATAATAAGTAAGGGCATGGCAGATCTTTCCAAGACAAGCACTCCATTGAAGCTGATTAACCCATGCTGCTTCATGTCATCCCTGGCAGCACTTATCATCTCTTAGTGAAGAATGTGGTGCTCATCCTCCCCTGAACCACTTGCCAAAGACTGTAGGGAGGGAGTACTCTACTGTCCTTATTCAGACTGCTTGACAAAGTGAGAGCTGCAGAAGATATACTATTTGTCATCTCTGGCATGGTTGCCCAAAGCTTTGGCAAACTGTTCAAAAGAAGTTCACCCTACCAGCATGCCTTTGCACAATTCTGTCCGGACAGTGCTTGAGTAGAAGCCTATTCTGGTTATAGCAAGCAACAAGGAAAGAGACACAACATTCTCATAAAAGAAAAGTGAGGTGCCCAGACAAGTCATCCTGCGGAGGAGATAGACTTAAGACCAGATTAAGAAACATACAACATACAAATTGGACTGGAACTGTTCTTTATTGATAAGTTACAATGAAAGAACCTTGAAAGTATATTGTGTTTTCACTTCTTACCTCAGAGAATTATGGTAAAGTGATCTGAATTTTTTTTCCTAACACTTTTTCTGTTTCCTGGTCTTAAAGCATGTTTTGTAACTGTTTCTGCATAGTTTCTCCGGGCTTATATCTGTGGCTGTCTATGGTATTCCATAACATGGGAGGCATCACCATAGAAAGAATCCTTATGGCTCTATGCCATCTTGTAGGGTCTCTTTTAGCATCATCTCCTTGCATGCATTAACCTGGAAAGACAGTACTTTTGGAATGTTGGCCCAAACTAGATAAGGTTTTATTGGTCATAAACCACCCGGAACTGAATTTGAAAACTTATCTATAAACAATGAGAAAACCAGAAAAAAGGTGCAGTACTTAGATAGCCATTCTTATTTGCTTGTAAGAACCATCATTATTTGTACCAGGTATGATTCTTGAACTGCTTTCAAAGGCAACCCCATGTAGCCCCATGCAGTAATCTAGATGAGTCGTAATAACATGAAACACTGTTGCCAAGGCATCCTTATATGAGCAGAACAACAACTGGTGCACCAATCAGCAGGATTTTAAAGACTAGGAGGGGCAAGTGCTTTAGAGGGAAAGTGACCTCTAAGAGCACAAATTGTGGAATATTAATGTAATCACAGTATTTCTGGACAAATGATAACTCTTAGATCAAGTTTGTTTCTAGCTATCCAGTTTCTCAGAGACTGTAGGCACAGGTTTGGACTTTCACGGTACCTCTAAGCTTCCACAATACTTCTAGGCTTCACCAATACCTGGAATGGCAATATAAAATTAAATATCATCAGGAAGTTTATGGACCTAGATCACTTGCAATAGTATTTACACTATAGAGAACTATTTCCATTTCCTCAGTTTCAAAAAACAAAGCCTGAATAGTTGCACCAGATATTATCCAACTCATTGCACATTTTATCCTTGAAGAATCCAGTCCTCATTGGCCATTTCTTATGCCGTACCTGTTAAGAAGTAGGTTACCCTTACCCTCAAGTAATAAATAAGTAAGCATGCTTCACTGCACTTATTGCAATATTACAGAGCTGAACATGAGTCTTCTACTATTGATTGATCATGGTCATTTCTTATTTTTCTTATTTTTCACAATAAACACTCTAGAAATATCTTCACCAGTTCCATTTCATGGAGCTTCTCAGTTACTTAGGGGCATCCTGGGATCTGCAACTGAAGACAGGCTTATCTGTAAAAGTCAACTGGCCAAGTTTGGGTTGATTTTTTCTCCCCTCATCCCTAGGAAGAAGGCGAGGGCAAATCATTTCTGAACAGTCTGCATAGAAAACTGTACAGCCTTGCCTAGCTAGCTGCCAGGACTCAATCCCATTTTGCAGGCAAAAAGAAAGCTTATTTGCATTAGATTTGAATCTGACACTGATTTTCACCAGCAGATTTTTAAAAGAATGCACACTTTCTTTTACCACATTTACAAATCCAGTCAAGATTAAGTTTATGAGCGAAGCTTGGCCAGTAATAACCTCACTACTTCCCTTGTCTCACATCTTAATTAATTAATTCTGAGAAAAGATCAATTCATTACAAACTTTCCAAAAGTTCACCTTTGGGCTAAAATCCAGAAAAGGAAATGTCAGTCTAAAGTGAGGTTCCTATTTCTATTTAAAATAAGAAACTAGCAAATTATTCTTGTAATAATTTATTACTCTTAACTGGAGAAATACATATAATGAAAGGCCACCATAAAAAGTGCTATTTCCAGGAAAAAGGACATTGTTGTTTACTAATACCTACCGACAGATCAATCAATACCACTAATGCATCCTAAAGGTTGTTGCTTTTCCTGCAGTCGTTGCAAGACAATTAATGGACTACAGTGGAGATATCTTTTGCTGGGAATGCAACAGTGATAGATTACAGAGACTATTTTATGTTAAATGTGATTTAGACATAACTGTATCAGCTAGCAAAATTAGTAATATGGCTTTTTGAAAGTGCCAACCCCAGCCAAATGCTCTTTAGATGTGTCCTTCCTGAATCCAGGGTTAGTATGAAAGGATATGCAGCCTGACACCTGTGCAGGATCCAAATGGAGGAAGCTACCTTAATATCTGCATTGCAGTCCCTTTGATCTGCTTCTTAAAACCTCTGGTCCTTCTTCTCTCAAAGGCATGATGCATCAGCACGAGAGCTTATGGAAACATGCACTGATTTATTCAGTATAGGAATTCCCCTTTTATTTGTATCCTCTTCTCTTTCCTTCCCTCCTGTTATCATTGCCATTAGTCAGGCAGACTCTTAGCATTGTGATCTAAAACAGTTTGATTGGGAAAAAAGAAGTTTTGAAATCAAAGCAGCAAAACCTGGATATAGAGCACATTTGTGAAGTAATGAGAATGGGAGGAAGGAGATGTATACATTCCAGTGATGGGATTCAAAAATTTTTACTACCGGTTCTGTGGGCATGGCTTGATGGGCGTGGCGTGGCATGGCATGCGTGGCAGGGGAAGGATACTGTAAAATTTCTATACCCTCCCCATCCCACACCACTAACCTGCTTTCCAGCTCTATTCTCCTGTGCAGGGCAACAAAAGAAGACCCAGCCAATCAGCCTGGACTTGGGAGGCAAAGAATAGATGGGGGTGGGGCCAGTCAGAGGTGGTATTTGCCGGTTCTATGAACTACTCAAAATTTCCACTACTGGTTCTCTGAACCTGCTGATCCATTCCCACATCCACTAAGTCCTGGGTAGTTAATATTGACCATGAGCAAGCAAAAAGTATGTTATCTACCTTTTAGGTTAATTTGAACTTTTCTTTTTAATTTATAAAATGTCAAAACATAAGGAAAGAGAGCAGAAAGTTGATACGAACATATAGAGAAGTAAATGGATACATATAAGTTTACACATAAATGTCAATTTATAGCACCAAGGTTAATGGGTCTATGAAATTAAAACAGCTGGGTGACCTTAGATCTGTCAGTCTCAGCCCAACTCACCTCATGAGATTGTTGTGGTGTGGCAAATAAGAGGAAGAAATTGTGTTAGATGTGTTCAACCCCTTGAATTATTTGTAAAATAATAAAGACGGGACACAAATAAATAAATAAAATTCTTTTATTTAGACTAAAGATCTAGAACTGAAATGATCCCCAAATATTATAGTTAAATGAATTATCTTTTGCTCTAAAAATTTAAAGATTAACTGACTATAACATTGCATGTTGTCTCTTCTGTTTTATAGAATAGATCTTTCCCTTAAGATCAAGTTAGCAAATCTTTTGATGACTTTCCAAAAGTTGGAGGAAACTTAGCTCTTCTAGAGATGCTTAGAAGATGATCTCTTATAGAGGGCATTTGTTGTGATGTCTCTTAATTTTTTTCAGTGAGTTTTGAAGGTATTTTATGCATTATTAAGTATATTTGGTTTGATTTTATTATAAACTGCTGAATATCAGTTTATATGTGTTAGGATGTAGTGAGATACAATAGCTAAATGGAAAGACAGACAGAAGATCTTAAATCTGGACAAATGGGAAATCATATTTTTTCATGGTCATGCTTACTTAAATCACTGCTCCATTCTCTGTATTTCATAAAAAAAATCTATCTAATCTTTCTCTATAGGATGACAAAGAATAATTGGTGCTTCTCTGTGATATTTTTTTCTTTCCCAATCCCCCAGTTGGTAAAATATTTCAATAATGTTTTTTTGCCATATATACTTTTTCTCCAGAGTTATCATTCTGAATATTCTTAGCAATGTTCATGATTATGCCTGTACACATCATCACCTCCCAGAAGACGATTGCACATGCCAAGCGTAATACCTTATGATAAGCTCCATACATGTATAGGACTCTGCCCCTGTATGGAGGCATATCCAGAAATCTTATTGAAGGATGTGCTTTGTGTTTATCTTTAACCATTGTGAAGACATGTCTTCATTCAGCTGCATGTGTTTGTACACAAGAACTTAATCTTTGTATGCAAGAATTTAAAGCTGTTTTGTTCTAGCTTTTTTCCTTCAGAAAGTCTCAAACAGATATATTGCTATGTTTAGCTTGCCTTTACTAGGTGGGTAGGTGCATGTCATCAATAAACTTTTGGAAAATGATATTTATAACTTTAATAAAAGGCAAAAAATGAGCAAGCTATAGCTTTAAAAAATATTTTATCCTGCATTTAAGATGCTGATTTTTAAAACTGAACAAATAGAAAACATGAGGGCATTCTTTATTGCAAAATTGTTCAAAATATTGGTTTTCAATATAGTCCTTTCTTAGGGTTACCAGAGATCATTGCAATCAAGACTATATTATTCATTAACTTTAGACAAGCTAAAGTTTATGGCAAGCAGCCTTTTTTGATGTGATTAGGTAACAGGTTCTATACAGTTTGTGCCATCATGATATATGAATCACTCAGGATTTTTTGTTTACTCTGATAACATAATTAAAAGTATTGATAATTTACTATTAGAATATAAAATATTACTATTTCAATTTATTACATCTGATATATATTACATTGTTTACCTAGAATATATATTAAGCCATCTAATGTTTCTTTCATCTCCTCAGATCATCTGTTATTATACTGGGCCTTTTTTCAGACCTTAAACTGAAAAACTAATTTTAGAGGAAAATTACCTATTTTAGTAAAAGATAACCAATTTCCCATTAAATCCATGTTTATTTGTTCAAAGAGGCACATCTCATTTCTTATCACTATTATTTTTTCAGTTCTTCAAACACCCTTTAGAGAAAGTATGTATGTATACATTTATTTATTTCATTAAATTTGTTATGGCCACCCACTCCAGTAGATTGTGGGCAGCCATAGTAAATTTAATGAAATAAGTAAAGATTAACCAAGGCATTAGCCAGTTTGTGCAACTGGAAAAGACTGCAATTTGGGGATCAAAATATTTTATTGCATAGTAAATAAATACATATGTACATATATACATACCAGTACATACTTAATCTCAATGTATTTCAAATGTAAGTGGAAATACTTAGTGACAGGATCCTATCATATTTTGTTGAATTGTATCCTGTATGGTCCAAAGAGATTTTTCCAAAGCACTCAAGCACAGACTTGCAGCCACAGGATCACTGCTAAAATGCTTTAATCCTACAACTCAGTACCCAGAATATCCTGTGTGATGCTCCATTCATCATTCAGCATAGTACATTACTTATTTACCATGGAGAAGAAAAAGAGGAGAGAAAAAAAATTGATTTGTCTCTATTGCATTTTAGTTTACAGTCCATATCTTAAAAATGCATGAAGTTGTAATATTGGTATATATGTAGTAGATTGAAGGATGATGGTGGCAAAAAGTATTGCCAAGGAATACTAACTGAAATACTCTTGAACATTAATTTTACTACATGGTTCATTGCTGATCAGAAGTTCTATCCAAAAATTTCTTCTATTGATTTTTAATGACCTGTATCTTACATATAACTCATTGCTATATAAATGTTAACAGTACTTATGAGTTGCTTATCTTACTAGAGGTTTTAGACAGATTTTTCCATTGAATATTTATTAGTAAATATTATCCAGTAGAGAAGGATTAAATAATATCTGCATGAAAGCATTATGTTTTTAATTTTCATTTCAAGATTCTTCTCTAGATTTCTGATTTAAACCTCTAAGGACAACACAGAAACAGGCCATTTTCCAGATTCCCCACTCCCCACCCCAAGATATCATATCAGTATTTTCTACAGCAGGATTCAGCAACATTTTCAAGCAGTGTACAGATTTTAAAACAATGTTTTAAAGCTCATTCATGTAAGACCACTGAAACCTTGCAAAACTGCAGAGCTTTTTAAGGGATTATTAAAATACTTTTCATTTTGGTGATATTTTTCAATGCTATATTTTATTTTTATTTAGTGAATACCATTGAGAGCATTGTGGGTATTATACAAGCACTAGACTACAAGGCAATATACCTATGATCAGCCCACCTCAATGCTCCTTGAATGCCAAAAATGTCTGCCAGTTCTCAAAGAATATTCCCCTGACCAGTACTCATAGGTGGCAACAGCATCTCACAACCTCTGGCAGAGACTTTTCTTCCACCACTTGGTACTTCCTCTTTCTTAATAAACTGGAATTACAGAGATTGGAATTAGATTACTGTGTACATTAAGCAAGTATGCTCCCTGTGTTAGCTACCATCCTTTTCTGACCTCTTATGGGCTGTCAGAATTTTCATATTTCATATTCTTTCCCTACCTGAACAAGTCAAATGGAGCAGAGATTTTCCAGGACTGGTTTAGTTGAGTGATCAGATTTTCTTCTGCACATTCTGGTACTCTATTAAGAAGATTTTTCCCAGGATTTTGTCACAGATATCACCTTTTCCAATAAATGCAGTAAAAATCATTGCTTAATATATTTACAAAATCTAACATAATGTTTTAAAAATGAAATCTATTCTCTTTGTAAATATCGGTTCTGCATGTTTGTAGAAGGGATTTTATGGAAAGAATATCATAACAGATACAAGATAACATAACAGATACAAGAAACAAGATACAAGAAAAATAAAATGTAAAGGTTATTTAAACAGTTTCAATTTGTTGTCCAAAACAATTAGAGGAAATCCTAATAATCAGCATGAAATCAATAGGATGTATTCACCAAAAGTTACTAGGTTTTGGGCCCATTTGAAATTATGATTCAGATTTAGCTTTAGTAAAGACCATATTTTATTTTAAAACATAGTTGTGTTATTGACTGCCACGTAAGGATAGTTGTCAGTATAAGGACTGCCCTGACTGGGAAAAATCTACAACCTATTTCAAACTTTAGTAATAAAAGATGTTCTGAAAATTGAATTTTGGAAAATGATAACTGAAGAAGCAACTGGCTGACATTGAGAGCATTTCTCAATGTTTTTAAACTCTTGACTCCCATTCACTAGGCAAGTAGGATAAAGAGGGCTGAAATTAAACATTTGGTTTTGACTTTTCAGAAAATTTCTTAAGACTGTGTAGGTTGGATCTCACACTGAACAAGTATCACTTTCCGGGTTTAACTAGGAATAATTAATTGATCCATTTTACTGTGTATTTTAGAAGGAAACAGTACTGGTCATCTTACCCTAGTATTTCTTGGAGTCAGATATTCAAATTGGTAGATTAATCCTTTTCTATACATTTCTTTCCTTAAAAAAGCCCAAAACAAAACAGAATACATCCATATCATTTCCCTGACTTTGAACTAAACAAATGACTCTGCTGTAGCATTTTTCATTAACTTGCAGAATAAACATAATGTCATTGAAACCAATGGCAATACACTGAATGATAAGAAGACCCTAATCTCATGGTAGCTACTATCTACTTTCCCTTAACAACTTCCTAGCAGCCTTCTTTATCTTTATTGGCATGTTTTCCCTTGGCATCAATATCAAAATCTGCCTATTC